CTTTGTGAGGCTGGAAGGCCACATGCATTCCAGGAGCAATTTAGAACCCTTTGTTGTTCAGGAACCTTCTCAGACGCTTTCATCGTCTGTGTGTGTGTGTGTATGTGTGTGTGTGTGTGTGTGTGTGTTTGTTTCTTCCTTTGTTTTAATTGTTTGTGTTAGGGAAATGAAACATTGATTTCGGTTATTATATTTTAATGTATCCTGCTAGAGAGCTCAGCCCCAGTCACAGTGTCTGATGTCTAGTTTTCCTGCATGTGTGTGGACTTGGTGGGTTTAAGTGTGTGCCTCGAGCCATTTCTCGTGGTGGCCATGCCAGATGGATGGGCGGCCTCCTCCTGGGTGACCTTTGCCGAGTCTCCCTGACATTCCCCTTCTGTCAGTGAAAAGGCTCCCTTTCCCCCTGTGTGTGTGCTCCTGGGAGAGTGGGTATTGACCTTTTCTCCTGGAAGGAGCTGCTTCATGGCATGAGGGGTCATTTTGATTTATTTTTTAACTAGCTAAGTAGTTACAAGGCCCAGCACAGCCCAACCCGGGTAGATGAGACTGTGCACCCAGAGTACAAATAAACACACCTTGCTGCTTTTCATCTTCAAAGAGGTGTGACGGGGCCTTCCTAGTGGGGTGTGAGGTGTTTTTTCCTGATAGCCCACTGGGCCATTTGCTGTGCCATGGGTTGGGGGAGGGACAGGGATGTGAGTAGGAGAGGGTGGGGTGGTAAAATTCTGGGTCTGGAACAGGATAAGTTGACAGTGGGCTTGTATTGTCACCTTCCCAAAACATCTTAAGAGACTTTGAGGCATCAGGAATATTTATAGTGAAATGATTTCACTGGAAAGTCCTGACCTTTATCACTTTGCCTGTTTGTGTGGGCAAGGGAGAAAAGGGAACCCAGTATTTTTGGTGCATCTCCTGTGTGTGAGAGGCTCTGCTTGCCACCATAAACACACTGTCTTGTTGAGTTTTTGCACTGAGGTCACGTAGCAGGACTATCTAGGTTTGATGGTTCTGGAGCAATCAATAACTCCCAGAGCACCATGGGAAGGTGAGTGCTGAGTTAGATTTCAACTCCTCCGGCTTCTCTGGTCCCCACCTGGGCTTTTCCCACCATTCTCAAGATTCCAGTATTGGTGCTGCTGGCCTGGTCTTCCAGAGGTCTTTATGAATTAACATGGTCCTCACCGTCCTCCCAAATCTGGTCATTTTGAGGTTGCTGCTCTGAACACATTCAACTGAGGCCTAAGCTTTCTCCAGAGGACATGTTACCATGCATGGCAAGTACATAAAATAAATCTCAGTCCTTGAGTCATGTTGGAATTTGGTCAGAATAACTGAGGGCTCTCTTCTGTGTCCCTGGTTGGAAAGCCTGGAGGAAAGACACTGCACGCCAGGTCCCCTTGCTGGACCACAGTGGTGCTTACATAGGGGGTTTCATTTTTATTCATCAAACTCTCTATTGGTATTTCTCCGTTTGTTATATGTTTATTACATTTTATACATAAATATCAAAGATAACTATATGCCATGGAAGCATCTTAGAGCAATGGAACTGTTTTTAGCTATGGGAAAGCTCCAGGGACAAATGTATTTTTGGTTTTCATCAAGTTTCTCTCTCTCTCTCTCTCTGTGAACTATGTTGGAGCTGTCTGAGCCATTCTAACTGTAGTTCAATTTATTTATTTATTTAGTTTTATTTTTGGTCAGTGCCTTTACCTGACACCCAGGGAGATTATTTTTTAAGAAATGGTGGCTCCTGCGTGTGTGTGCACGCTCCTTTCTTCCATTGGATTCAAACGAATCTACTCACTTGGGTACTGGGGAGTATCCTTAAATGAGCGTGTTTAGGAAATCAGCCAGATATTGAAGATGGTGCTTGATGCTTGATGTGGAATTTGCTTACCAGAAGTGGACTCCCGGGGTAAGGTAGCTGCTCAGTCAGAGGGACAGCAAATTTTCTTTTGAGGTAGGATTGTTGGATTTGTTTCGATGGTGGCAGGAGCTGGGAGGTGGGTTTGTCTAGTGTGGGGTTTATTCAGCTTTGGAACTGCTGACATTTAGGACTACAGAGTTCCTGCTGTGGGGCCAGCCTGGGCATTGTAGGATTTCCTTCAGCATCACTGGTTCTAGATGCCAATAGCAGTCCCTCTTCCCTGCAGTTTTGACCACCAAGATTGTCCCCAGACATTGCCATCTCACCTCTGGTTGAGAATCCCTCATATGGTGGGGGCAAGCCTCCTTGCTCTTTTTTGCTGCCTTCCTTAAAACTGCCTTCCGGGTGCAGTGGGTCATCAGAGCGCTCTACTCCCAAGCGGTCATGGGGCCTCTGCTTTGTTTCTGCAGCCACACAAGTTCAGGGTGAAAACACATTCTTAACTAGAAATGCCCTCAGCACCCACCCTCCGCTCTCCCTTGTACTGTAGCGAAACTTCTGGAATTTTTGCCTGCAGTTTGGTTCCCTTGAGAGAGACATGTGCTGGGAAAGAGGTAACAGGCAGGTGGCCACTGCCATCCCAAGCCACCTGGCTCCCGGAATGTTAAACTTGGGAAGTTCTCGGGGCCTGGGGCCAGAGAAGAACAAGCTACCTGAGAGTTTGCCTTGGGAGTTGGAGTGTTGAAATCTTTCCCCGGGAAGTTCTTTCCCTTCCTCCTCGGGTCCACAGAGCAGTGATTGTTCTTTCCCTCCGCATTGCTCCTCCAGGCCATCAGAAGGCTGTAGGAGGCGGGGGTTCTGCAGGTGGTGGGGAAAGTCGTCCCCACCAGCGGCAAGCTGGGTTTTCAGAGTTCTCCTCTTCCAGTCTCTAAGGTCTTTTTGAAGTGTTGTTTTGTAACTCTTGGGTTCCTGGAAGGCACAGGGCCCCCAGGTGTCACTGCCTTTGTTCTCTCCCAGTCTTCCTTGAGTGTTTTCCCCTTCCTTTTCTCTTCTCTGCCGCCTTCATCTTTGGGCATGAATTTGCAGGACCCAGAGGGAGACATTGGGCTTCATGGGAAGAGGGGAACATGGTCTCAGTTCAGGTGCCTTTGCCTCTTTCCAAAAGCCTACTCTGAAGAGGAGCTCTGGCTTCCCAAACATGTGGTTATCATTATCCTTTTTGTCTTTGAGTAACTAGAAAGTTCTTTTTTTGGGGGGGGGAGTTACTGGTTGATTGACCTCGGGGGTACTGGACCACTGAGCCACATTCCCAGCCTGGCTTTGACTTATCTTTAGAGGCAGGGTCTCACTGAGTTGCTGAGTGCTTTGTTGTTGCAGGCTGGCTTTGAACTCCTGCCTCAGCCTCCGGAGCCGCTGGGATTACAGGCATGTGCCACCAGGCCTGGCTGAAAATTCTTCTTAAACCCTCTTGCTTCTGGTGTGATACCAGCTCTGCCCCACCCAGGCCCTGTGTTGTGCTCTAGAAGTGCAAACCTGTGCAGAACCTGATCTTTGCCCTGGAAGGACCCAGTGATCCACTGATGGGTGTGAGATTGTTTGCTGGCTTTTATGGTTCTCTGGGGATTGTAGAGGTGCTCCCCACCCCCTCCACCCGTGAACCTTGAGGGAATTTCTAAATATGAGAATCTTGGGGACCTTGGTGGGCACAGAGCTACGCAGATGTTACAATTCCTGGCACCTATGGCCCCCCGGTGTTTGCAGGTTTTCAGTCCGTACATCATTTTTTGAACAGGTTCCAGAGCTGATAACACAGGTCCGAGCTTGCTGCTTTAACTTTCCAGATAAAATGTCCAGGTATGTGTGTTGGCGTTCTGAAAGTCTTCTGACTTGAGACTTCTGAGATTTGAGTAATTTCTTCTGTGGCATGTGGACCACAGCCTTCTTTAACTAATGGTCAGACATGTTATGTATGTGTGTACACAGTCATCACCCATCATCTTTGAGAATTGGTTCCAGGATCTGCCTTGGATACCCAAATCCACTGATGCTCACGGTCCCTTGTGTCAAGTGTTAACGGTATTTGAATAGAATCTAGGTGGTTATCCCGTATACTTTAAATCATCTCTATATGACTTTATGATATCTAACACAGTGTAAATGCTATGTATAAACACTATGTTGTTTCGGGAAAAATGACAAGAAAAGTCTGTATATGTACAGTGCAGGTGAAATTTTTTCCCCAATAATTTTGATCTGTGGTTGGTTGAATCCACAGGTGTGGACCCTGCAGGTAGATACAGAAGGATGACCTAGTTTTACACACACACACACACACACACACACACACACACACACACACACACACAAGCTCTTACCTCTCTTAGTGCAGATCCCACTAGATTGTGCACTTCTTGGGGCCTGGGATCCTGTGTTCAATGTATGTGTCACATTTCTCACTTCTCAGTGAAGGTTTGCTCTGTTTGGCAGAGTACCAAGCACTGTACAGGTATTATTTTGTTGTAATCTTCTCAAATTAAAAACACCACCAAAATAGTACACTGAGTACCTGCTCATTATACAGAATTGAATCAAAACAGAAGAAAGGATGATAAAATATTACAAATCTTCCTTTCTCTTCCTTTTACACTTCTCTTTCATCCATCCATCCATCCATCCATCCATCCATCCATCCATCCATCCATCTATCTATCTATCTCACTATCTCACGTCAGCCTTCAGATGGATGGATGTGTAAATACACATGCACATTGAGGGACATAATTCAATCAGCTCATACCTGTCCACAGTGGTAGTTTTTTTTTTTTTTAACTGAACTCTTGTATTTCATCAGTTGTTCCTTGAGCCACATGGCTCGGTCACCTGCCCCTGTTTTTCAGATGTCTCTGTTACTCCAGAGCGCTTAACAGTTTCTCACCTTTGCTTGTTCTGCTTGGCTCATGCATGGTGCACCTTCTGTCTCTATCTCGTGCGTGTCTCTGAGGCATGGAATGGCAGCCGTACAGTGTCGCTCTTTGTATCTTTCTCTTTTAGGTCTCTTCCAGTGCTTGGCTCCTGCTTTTCGAGAAGAGGTGGAGTTGTACTCATCCAGTCATAGATATTTACTTCACTCTTATCAAGTTGACCATTTTCCTACACAATAATTTTTCATTTCCATGCCGTATTTAAGCATCATCCTTAAATAGACATTCTAAACAGCAGTGTGTGTCCAGCCAGGGCAGCCAAACAATGTTCCCAACTTGACAGAAGTGATAACACAGAAATGGATGTGACCAGGTCCACCCAAGCCCCACCAGTGACCAGTAACTCAGCTTCCTCCTGTCCTGTGCTGGCAGAAGTTGCTGTTGGCCATTAGGCACATCTGGATGTGGGTGATGTTAATATCAAAGGTGAGTCTTCTTAGCTGTCTTTCTTTTAGCTTTTCTGTATCTACCCATTCTTTGGAAAGCAGCTTTGATAACATCTTTCTGGGATATGTAGTTTACTCAACTGGTCAAGTGCTCTGCCATATTACAGAGGAGGAAACTAAAAGGTGAAGGCATTTCCTTCAAGCCCTCAGCAAGTACCAGTGGCTGCATAGTTGGTGCTTGCGTCTGCACAACCTGAAATCTGTGCTTTTAACCGCTGGCTCTGTTGCTTTGTTGTTTCTTGTTTGTTAGAAGAGGAAGCGTATTGTCTGGGTTGTTCTAGAGAATTCCATCATTGAACACTGCTGTCATATTGATGTATTGAGTGAGATGCAATGATCTATTAGAGAGCCATTGGAGTGGGGCAGGGGGGATCCAAAATTGGCTTTATTCTGGTGGTCTATCTTTGGTAGGTTGAGAATGGTTTTCTGCCATTCCCCCTGTGTGGAGAACTTATCCTTATGAGCATTTAAATTGGCCTTTGCAGAGGCTTGATTTATTAAAAGAAACAGTAACATCAATAAACCAATTATTTAGCACCACAAGAATTGCCTTTGAATATATTAATGATGGAGAGAATTTTCTTCCCCTTTCATGGAAATATTTCGTTGGAATGAGCAATCGAAAGCCATTTATTGGTAGTCAGTATGTTTCTCAAAGAGTACTGGGTGCCATAGAGAAGGACCCACTGTTTCCAAAGTCTAGAAATAGATTTTTAAAGCAAAATTAAGAGTGCGGATGATAATGCCTCCTATGAAAAGAGACATTTAAAAATCTTTAAAAAAAATTCCCTTCTGACCCTGAGCTGAAGCTTGAATGGGGTAAGTTTTTGCCATTTGATGAAAGGTGTTGGGGCAGGCAAGCATTTCAGGCAGAGCTTGAAGAAGATGCAGGGCTTCACGTCCGGTCTTGATCCCTCAGAGCAGAGAGCTCTTGTGGGCAGTGGTGCCTGGTGGGGAAGTATTACTCCTCATCTAGCAAGTGTCATTCACCCTGGGCACACTGGAGCGAACCCCAGAATTTCTCCAGAGAACTGGGAACTAGACTCTCCTTTTCGTGAGTCATTGTGATGTCAGGAGAATAACTGGTGATAACGTGGGCGCATTTGCTGGCACCCAAGTCCAAGTGTGATTTTTGACAGCAGCACAGTGTGCAGACGGGGCTGTCTCCTTCCTGCAGACCGGCCACAAAGACGGAGA